CATTTCTGCTCAGCAAAAAATACTTAAATACTTATTCCAAAAGGCGGAGATGAATGTGTATATTCTGCAGTATTTAGCTATCCATTTGAGAATCAAGTCACTTTTTTCACCTTGCTTTTAGTGAGAGCAATGGCAAAAATGTCTACTCTCAAAGAACAGAAAATAAAATCTAATTTATTCCTACAAATTATTTTTGGTTATGTTAATCTTGAGTATTTATTTACATCTAGAGCAGGGCCAAACCGTGAAACAGATGCCTGGAGATTTTTTTAAAACATTTATATATACTAGGAAATTCTAATGAATTTTGTATGAAAACAGATGTTTGTGGATAAATAAGCCTTTTTGTTTATTTACGGGTATTCCACAGAAAAATCTGTTTAATCCGTTCTTAAAACATTGAGCCTGAAAAATGGAGAGGTTGAGATGAAAGGATTTGCTGGGTCTTTTGTCTGAAACGAACCTAGGTTTGCTCATTTGTTTGGGGGGCTGCTTAGCATTTAGGAGGGAGAAAGCTATTCTTCAGTTCATGTATGAAAATGTACAATACTTTATATCAATTATTTGACTGATTGCTGGAAGTGCGTTGAAGTGAAGGGGCATAGGCTAGTTCTGGCCTTCACTAATGGGAACATTTCAGTTTGTGGATGGTAATTAAAGTATAGAATGCGGAAAATTAGGCCAAAATTGAATAGAAATGAATAAGTATGTATTCTGTTGTGCAGATGTTGGAAACAGATTATTTTGGATCCCTCTTTCTATCTACATCTTATTTGGTTACCATGTAAAATTCGGTCAGACACCATGTAGATTGTTTCTCTTCCCATTACCTTTCCTGTTTTTATGTTGTGATGTATCTGTATAGGTAGTAATTTAGCAAAATATCCTGTCTGCCAGGTGTGGGAACTAGCTGATTGTATTGTAATACCAGATCATTACTTAATTCATATGCAACCTAGCCTAGCACATGGAAAGCATTATAAATCTATTTACAGTGTGGCTGGTCTGATGATAACATTGTATTAAATTCCCAGGTGAGGCAATTTAAGCAATTGCTTTGCCATGTGTAGGCCATGGAAATTAACTTCTCATATGCTTTAGTAATAGACGAACTTCATTGGTATGCTCAGATTAGTAGTATAGCAGAATTCTTACAGTCTGGTTACGTGTACCCTGCTTCACATGTAGAATCATACAGGGGGGTGGTACTGCAGATCACAGATCTTAATTAGTTTAAGCTGAGTTAATTCATTTCAATTCTAATTTAGCTGGGCTTGCCCATGAAGACATTCAGTTCTATTGGGAAATGTTAAGGCTTGGGTCAAGTAGACAGATTGTTTAAAGCCAAATTGCCAGACAGAACTGAGCAAGTGTATCTGTTTGAACAGGGCTTTAAGGAAATCACCCAATCGGTATGCAAAAATCCTGTTCATAAACCAAGAGAGGTCTGCTTGGAATCAGAAATTCTTCCTTGTCAGAAGGTCTGGGTACTGTAGTACATTTAAAACAGCCCCTGAAACTTTCTCTGTCTTGAAGTTCTTGTAGAAAGTAGCTTAACCCTTTTCTGTCACCGTGTGTTTGGGCACATGGTACATTTGAAATATATCCACTGAGCAAAAGCACTTGTGTGCTTCGACTTTTTGTCTAGATATATACAAGAAAATATAAAATACAAGGAAAACTTCAATATATGACAGACCTTTACAGACAAAAACCTGCACACAGAACCTCTTAAACCTATATTGAGCTGCCCAGAAATGCCTTGGATTACAAACTCTGTAAAGCTTCTGTCTTTTCTAGAAACATACATATAAAGTACCAGTAGACAGTGGTAACTGACAACTAAGACTAAAAATGTTGACAATTTCTTGATTTGCCTGGTTAGCTTATGTATAGAAGTCATTAACTATTTATAAAATGCATTATGAATTGGGTTCCTTCAAACTGTAGCAGAGTGTGTGACATTTCCAGCTCAAACTATCATTCTTGCATTTGGCTAAAGTACGTATTTATAAACAGCTGATAGTTATGAACTAAAAAAAAATATAGAAAATTGTTTAATTACTGAGTTCAGACAAGCCAAACTATTTTGTATAGCCACATTTGGAAGTGTTAACCAATAATACTTTAATAAAAATAAGAATAGTAATTCAAGATATTGATATTTTGGACAAATCCTTAAAGAATAAATGAACACTTTAGTTCAAAGACCTTTCCTTTTATATTATTGATTCATTTGGAAGTGAAACTGTGATCAAAACTAGTATCAAATTATTTATTGATTATGGCAAAGAGTTGTAACTAATTGTAGTCAAAGCATTATTTCTTTTAATATAATTGCTGATTTTCAGATCATGACAGATTTTTGCAATAAAAGAACAATGATACAAATATATTTATTAAGTTCAGCGGTGATGATATAAAGATTATAAAAGGTCTCTTAAAATTGTATTGCTATTAACATTTATTTATTTTCCATAAAGTATATGCTTTTTCCTTTCTCCCATGCTGGCTCTTAAGAATGAGAATATCATCCAGTTAAATCTTTCAAATAAATGATGTGTAACCAAGGACCATCTCAGTCCCTACATATTATTAGGCAGCTTGTTCACTGGAGAACAAGCTCATGGAGCATCATGCTCTTCATCTCAGTCTAATAATCATAAATACATTCAACACTAACAGAATCAATGGGGCTGAGTCATTTTGTGAAATTGGGAGAAACTGTACAATTGAACTACTAGACCTCAAATGAAGTCTTAAGATTGAATCTTAATCAGACAAGAAGATTAGATATTTATTGGTATATATTTGTAATTTCCTTCCTTATTTGATGTGTATCAAATAAAAATAGGAAAATAATATAATTGAGCAATCTATGCCAATTTGTTGGCTTTTTGGTGAAAAAAGAGAAAAACAAAACCTATCTCCATATGATATTCTTGCATACTGTGGAGTGTTTTAGTCCCCCATAGTGATGAAATGAATAATTTAAACAGGCAGCTCTGATACCACAGCCTGTTTAAAGGTTCTCATTTCCTTTAATGCTGTAGACTACTTTAGCTTGGTTAGTATGAAACTGTGACAGCTGAGATCTCCAAAAGATTTGGCACAATTCACCTCATGTCGTAGGTCCATGGTATGCTTTGTCCTTTCTACATCTGTAGCTTTAGTACATAATCTAGATCTGAACACTGGCAACTGAATCACAAATGGGTAAGCTTTGTAACGATGATATTGGTTATAAAGGGTGAACTACACAGGATAAAGAGCTAAAATATTTTGCTGTGAGGTGACCAATGCAAGGCTTACTCCACTGCTAGACCACACGCATAACGGGTGACCCACTTCTAAACTTCTTTGTCACAAAGGTAATGAATTTCCCTATGCTCACTATAATTTCTAGTGAGTTGTTTCCTGTCCCTTAGTCTCAAAGAAGTCTTTTGGCATGATGGTCCAGTTAGGGAAGATTTGAGGAGGGTTTTGTTTTTTCTGAGTTCCCGCTGGTAGTCACTACCATGGTAGGGTGTGAGGGAAGCTCCCATCGGTAAAGGAAGGCCCTACAGCTTAGTTCTTGCTACTCTTGGGTTTCTTCCTCTGATGAAGTATAAAAATGATCATAGCCACTCTCAAAAAAGAAAAAAAAATAGAAAATATGATAAAAACTCTGTCTCTCTTTTAATGGTAAATATTAACCGACTAAGGACCTGTTATTTGGCTAACAGAGAAATTGAAAGCTGGGATGATGTTCTCATTATGGACTTCTCTGTTGTTCCATTGAATGCTCTGCTACCCTGGTAATCTTCAGACATTTGCTTTCCATTGCTTGGCACTTGTTCTAGTTTAGAATCTACATGATGATCAGTTCATGAGCAAATCTGATGCTCATAAGCTGTGAATAACAACTGTAAGGATGCCATGAATGACTGTCCCAGTTTTGTGGTGTTTCCTTGAACTGCTGTAAACCAGTGTTTCCTTGTCCTATTGTTTTCTCTCCTTTCTTTTGCCCTTTAATTTCTTGCCCTTTCCCAGTAGGCCTTCATAGCCTTAGCAGTATAGAGAACACTTGTTAATTTTTTACATCTTTAAATGCAATCAAGTGTGTCAAATGTGTGTTGTTCGGGTTTGATTTACATTAGTCATATGGGAAAAACTCAGTCTTCCTTTCCTGTTTAGTGGCATCACTGCAGTGTTATGTTGAGTTCTGTGTCCAGCTAGCAAGTGTTCTTCAAAAAAATATGTTTGGTTCCTGCCCTGGCTTTTCTTGATTGCTTCTGATATTATTGTGTATTGCCTCTCTGGTTACTCCATTAACATAACTGGGATCACACGTTACTTATCCTGAGCTTCACTGAAGCTGCTTTCATTGCTGCAATGTTGAGGGTGTGACTGTCTTAGAAATACTAAGGTTTTGCCATGCAGATTTGTCAAAATACAGCAGTTGAAGAACTTTGTAATAACTTTTACTTGCAGATTTTTATTTTTTTTTATATCAAATAGGTATCCATTAGGGGGCTCTCGAGGTTCAAGATGATCAGCCTTGATACCAATGGCTTCGGAGCTTTACTTCCTAACCCTTTTTTCTTTTTGTTTTACAGAAAAGGTCACGAATCGCCTACAGTGATGAGGTGCGGAATGAGCTCCTAGGGGATGACGGGAATTCCTCAGAGAACCAGGTAGGATGCTAATCAAGAAGCCCTAGTGGGTGGCTGGAGGGTGAAGGAGGTCACTGGCACACTGGGCTTCTCAAGCTGCTCCTTAACAGCATTAGCAACAACTCATGTGGAAGTGATACTATTTAATGCAAAGCTGGGGTCTTAATCAACTTCAAAATGTTTCTTGGAGATCTTACATTTAACCCTTTAACTTGTGATCACTGTCTGCTATCTTAAAAAAAATCTTTTCTTCTCTTTTCTTTATTATTTGGTACTTAAGAAATAACTTGAAACACGCTGTTTGCCGACAAAGCCAAGGTCTTCACCTCAAACACATGTAAAAGGAATAAAAAAAGTACATAATGCAGCTTTGATAATAATGCAGTATAATTAAATCAACACTGGCAGGCAAAACAAATGAAAGTGCGCTCACAGAATTAGGCAGTTCCCCACTCAGTTTCCTTGTGTGATTCCTTCCCTAAACAGATTTTCTCTTCTTGTACCAAAATTCACAAGTTGTACTAATAAGAGCATGCTTTCATAATGCATGTTGTACCAGGATGCAGAATGCTATCCATCTCTTTTAATGAATGAAAGCTTGATAATCCTGAGGCTTTCTTAAAATCTTGTAACCAAATTGTTATTCTGGATACTACAGTGAGGATCCTGCTAAACTACCCAAAATTACAAAGGCAGTGTTTTATTCAGGAGACTTTGACCTACCTGTTAATATTCGTTCTGGGGCTGAAACTTGTTTGGCACTTTGAAAGCAGAATATTTCTTTTCTTTTTGAAAATTATGTCATCAAAGTTGTATCTTTTGAATTAGAATTTAGCCGAAAGTTTTCTTAAATGTCAGATTGCCTCTTCTGACGATATAGAATCCAAATTATTTTATAGTGAAAGTGAAAATTGTTTAAATGCTTACTCAAGAAATGTGATAGTAAATAAGGAAATGGATCACAACAATGTTCTGAAATTTTCTGTATCTTCTATACCTGCTGTATAAGCTCAGCTCCACTAAGAAAGGAAAAAAAAAAGACTTGGAGACTTACCCGGTAAAATGACTTTCAAAACACAGACCTTGTTACCCTTATCTTATGCAGTATTTTAAATATGCTCTATAAGTTTTAAGCTCTTTAATAGACTTTAATTCATACATTAATGAAAGCATACACAGGATACAATTTATCTGAAGACACAAGACTAGAGTAGAGCAGCTCTGATATCTATGTGAAGAGGTAAATTTAAAAGATATTAATCTTCATATTTATATATTATAGCAAGGGGAGATTCCAAAATTTGAGTAAAATAAAGAGGGGGTTTTATCCCAATAATGAATTTATGGAAAAGGTGATTTTAGGAAAAAGAGTTTCATAGTCTGCATGTCATGATTTTAAACGCAGTCCTGTGAAAGTGTTATGATTCTCATTTTATTTCTCTTAAGGTGCTGCTATTTTTACATTTCAAGAAAAAATTGTGTGAATTCAGACATAAAAGGGCAATTGTGATAAGAAACTTTACTTAGAATATCTTATGGGTAGGGATGAGATAAAATATTTTATTTTCACTTTTTAGGGAATGTTTAATTTACTGGTTCATGTGTGCACTTTTTATGAGGTATGATCTTTTTTCCAAACGTGATGGAAGAGACATAGTCTCATCTCAAGGAACTAAATGCTACTTTCAACCATTTGTCAACATGAGGATTTTTTCTTCCAAATGAAGAAATGGAAGAAAATTTTGGCTGCGTAAGGAGTTTTGTATAGTCTTAGGTAATCAAAATCGTATTCCATAACCCAACTTGAAGCTGTTACCCCTGTACCTTTGAAAGTTCTGAATTCCTTTCTTAAAAAATATTATGAAATAGCACTGTAAGGTAGTCACCTAATTTCTTTTAAATATGTGAATGCCATTATTTTTAAAAATACATTATTTATTGTGTTTTTTCGTTAATAAATCTCACATTTTCTTTTTCTTATTAAATATCCTTATTTATATCTGTACTTCTGTGCATGTAGTTATGAGTGCAAGCAGTTAGTGCAAAAACTTCAGCTGGTATTGAGCTTATTAAAATGTACAGCCATCAAAATCATATGTAAGGTTTGGGTACTTACCATATACCAAACATGATATATTGTCGTATTTAACTCGGTAACCCCAGGTCTAATACACTTTCATTCCTATACATTATTATATTGATAGAAAACTTGGACTAGATGATAAAAAGATGCTCAGGTATAACTTACAGCCTAGTAAAATGTTTGAAAATGTTTCAAATACTTGCTTTCAGTTTCTCTGGTGGAAATAAATATAGGTATGTGGACTGACCCTGACCCTGATGCTGTAGGATTTTTACTTCTCAGTCAGTTTGGATTAGGTTAAATTAGTTTAACCGAAAAATGATGGGTTTGTTTTCCCCAATTCAGTCACCAAACTGTGAAAACGGAGAGGAAGGATTCCTCTTCTGACAGGAGGTATTGAAAAAAGTTGCCTGTTCAGAATTGCTCCTGTACTAATCCACAAATATTGGTAAAATCTGGCAATAGAAATACTGGATATCTGGGCAGTCTAGGGTGTTATTCAGAGGCAGATAAGAGATACGAGTAGCACATTTTGGGTATGGTCTTTGTCATTGTGATAACACTTGCATAATGTTTTTGGTGGAGAGAGAAAACAAAAGGAACTTATTGTATACTGGCTAGTATGACCATATTAAATATCGAGAAATAAATAAGGCACTATTGGGGAAATAAACAATCTGGATATTTTCATTATTCAACTTCTTTTTTTATTTGAGTTTCAAAGGTACAATTACAGTGAACCACAGCCAAGTTACAGGCTGTAATACGTAGGGTGATAGGTATGAGTTTCCAGTTGTTCTCCCAAGAAGAAAGATTGAAGCACAAAGAACAGATTGAAGAATTAGCAAATGATGATTTGTCTTTTGTTTTCTTGGTTTTCCAAAATGTCTCCCATAAGTAGCAGCCATTATATCTGGATGATAGATTAGAATATAATTGCCATATAATGTGTATACTAAGACTTAACTAATTTTACCAGATAAAGCATATAGAAATTTCCTGTAAGAAGTTGTAAGAATTATACAGTTTTGCTATTGAAAGTTTCTTTTGAAATAAATGTATCTTTGTTTAATTAGGTAGGTAGTGATGTAGTGCTCTTAATGCACTTAGAGTTTAGTAAAGTCATTGCTTAGCATAAATTAATTTCTTCTTAATTTGAACCATATGAATGTAGTCAAATGAGGCACTTCGAGGTTGAGAATCAAGAGACATCCCCTCTTGCATAAAAAAACCCCACTTCACTCACCCAATCTCAAAAACTATGTGCATTGGGTTGTTATTTATTTTCCAGGAGTGGTCTCAAACAGGTTTTGTTGCTTTCAAGTCTTGTTTGTCATCCTGGCCACCAACATTAAGCAAATCCCTTGAAAGTTTTTAATTTAAATCCCTTGAGTTTTTCATTGCAATGATACACTACTTAAAGTTGTGGCTTCACTTTAATAATAATAGAACTGTTTTATGTAGCAATTCATATGGTTTTGAGAAAGGATATGTTGGGTTAAATCAGAAATCGTTCTCGACCAAAATAATGTCAGGTACAGTATTACCAACTTCCTTGAGATACAAGTGTTCCTTTCTCTTTTGCAACTATGTTCATTAGTAAGTTAAAATAAATCCTCATTAGGTTAAATTGTGTGTCTGTATATACATACATTTTATAAGTGATTTCTGGTGAACAAATGTTTTGTGGCTACTTAATTTCTGACTACAAAGTTGTGATAATATTAGATTTGGACTTGCTGTGCATAAAGTGTGTCAAACTTCAGCTACAGACCAGGGGGTGAAGTTGGTCAATTTAATTCGCCAAGATCTAAAGAAGGTCGGTATCATTTTATATAGCCCTGGCAGAGCAGATCATTACCAGACACAAATCTGTTCGTTACATGCCGAGGGTTTATAGCAAAATAAATAGACTGTCATCATAAGTTCAGAAAATTGTGTGTTCGACCCACGATAATGTGTAAAGGGCGTTTAATAGAGTTCAGCATTTATTCGTTATCTATATGCGGACAGAGACGGCGGTAGCGTTATCAGCTTTTTAAAAAAAATTCGGTAGTTTTCTGTGTCACGTGACATGCCTCACAGACACACACGCGCACACACACACACATCCCATCTCGCTCCCTTGCTCTCTGTGGCGCAGTTTTGATTTTAGTCACAGCAGAAGGCTTAGCCACAAGAGATTCCACTGGTTCAAACCAGCGTAAACCAGATTTTTTATTTTTTTTTTAGCCTACAAAGGAACAGATTACCTCTTCTATCGAATTCTGTATTGCAAAAAATTAAATAAATAAATCTTTGTTTCAAAAATATGCTGATTATCATAACCTAAAATGGTGGCTGCACACGGCTTAACGCTGTTTATAGTTCAGCAGTGAGCATAATAAAAATAATGTTTCAAAATAGAAACGTAAAGGTAACACATTTTCATCAAGAGCATTGTTAAATGGGGGAAAAATATATCTTTTGTTAATTTGAATGAATATCTTTCAGCCAATGTTAAAAAAAAACCCCAAACCCTCTCCCATTACTTAGCTTAGCTGCAAATCCCATGCAGAGCTTAAATTCAGCCATGCAGCACAAACAAGATAGAACATTTTTGTTTGGGACCTATTGAAAAAACAAATGTGCAGCATTTTAAAACTCTCATTGATTATAGCAGGGTGGCATGCCCAAACGGGCTCTATTGCGGGAGAGTCGTTTTAAACTTTGGCCCTTTAAGTATCATAGTCAACTGAAGAATGGTGGCCTCAGAAAGAAAAGATAGCAATGTGATCAACTCCCAGATCTCTCTTTCTAAACAGCCTTAATGTTTGCCTTTTTGGGGAAAAAAGGGGGAGGAAGAGCTGGAGAAAGAGACCAATTTATGATAGGCCAGGCACTTGAATTTAAGCATTGGTTTGGCAGACAATGCAGTTTTCTTTATACCAAATTCTAGCAAAGTTCCTTTAAGCTATGTGCAGAGGAGCTGGTTCACTTAGAGTTGATGTGGTGTTGTAGCCCTCCTAATTACATCTCGTTAGAGCCTCCTTGTCCGTTTTGTAACGTTCAATTTTAGACGAGCCATATGAAACAGTAGAGAATAATGGAGGTTCTTTTGTTTCCTTCATGCTGGTGAGACTTAAGTAGTAGTAAACATTCTGAACTTACACGTGTTGAAAATTAGTGCTATGAAACTGTAGGTGAAATATCAGCATAAACTGAGGTAATTATGTAGCTGTTGTACTTTCGAATTCAACTGGAATCGGTGAGAGAACTGTAATTTTTTTATAAAGAACCACTCTTGTGCAGACATTTATTGTCAGTGATTATAGGTTTTGTTCCATTACAAATAATTTCTCTCTCTCTCTAAGGGGAGAGTATATTACAACATGGCTTGATAGTCAGGCTGGGGTTTTATTTAGTTTTATAGTAAACCTGCCAGAGCAGTATTATTAACGGTGTTAGATTGTGTTGATTTACAAGCATAAATTAATAAATATAAATGTATATACTATATAAGTATACACACACACTCTATGTGTGTATATATACACACACTCTGTATAGTGGATTAAGAACCTGGAATGGGTCTTTTCTGAGGGAAATATGTTTCATGTTGTTCCCTATTCCTTTGTCTATTTTTAAATAAGCTGTTCAATAAATCATAATTCTGAGTCATTTGACTAAACTGCTGCTTTTTTTTTTTTTTACATGGCAAAACCCCCTGTATGAAGTTCAATAATAAAATTAGATAATATAGTTACAGTAGAACTTGGGTATATAAAAATTGAAATACTGGTTACATGCTATAAAGATGCAGTCATCTATTAATAAGTTAGATCTGCTAGTAAAATAAGAAATCAGTTGTCACAACTAAAATATACAGAAAACATTCTGCAAACTTGTATATACAAAACCACTTCAGCTGTACAATCTTGGAAGAGAGGAATAGTAAACTTGTTTTTTTCTTTATAATATAGACTTCTATGAAGTCATTCCCCTTTATTTCATGATGGTGTCTTAGATGTGGTTTAAAAGAGAATTTCACACTATTCTCTTTGTTTAATGTGACAGTGTGAGAAAGTGATCTTTATTCGTTCAAAAAACTCTGCATGTAGTCTATGTTTAGGTTCTTTTAATGTGTTTGTCTGTGATTTTTAAATGCTAAACATGTAAACAGATAAATTGTCAATGTTAATTCTGTATCCTGTCACACAACTGATCTTTCTTTCCTGCCATTTCTTTCCTTTTTATCTTTTTTGTGCGTTCATGTTGCAGTTGATAAAATTACGTGAAGAGGTGAGTACTTTCTTGCTTTTTGTTGTCTAGCTTTCCCTTTAAAGCTGAGTTTCTAAATCTGAAGTAGATCTTTTTGTTCATTGTTGCAGGGAAATCTACACAAAGCAAAAATATTGATTACATTGCTTTAAAATATTCACTGTTGTGCCTCTTTTTCCCTAATAATTGTATACTTACATAGGAATCTCTAGATCAAACCTTAGAAATTAACATTCTTTGATAGTGGAATTTTTTTAAAAGGCACTAGAAAAAGAAGGGGGAAAAAACTCCTCTATTATTTGATCTCTCCTAGAATACCATGATCAAATCAGGTACAGTAATAATCATGTTTGCATCACAAAATCTTTGATAGGGAAAATACATTTATACACTGGTATTGAAAATGAAAGCATTGCTTTGGTATAAACCGTTGCTGAAACATTGTAAAAATTACACAGAATTTCACAGTGTTTTGAGTTTGGAGTGAGGTATTCAAAGAGCTTATGTATTATATTGGATATTTCACACCCATTGAAAATACAGTACAGGTAGGTAGACCCACGCACACACATATCAATATTTATTATTTATTTGTGAGTGTTGTAGATCTGTAGGTGTAACACTAGAGATCAGTATTCCAGAACACCTTTCTTCCAGTTATAAAATGGATCATAAATATTTAGAGAGAAGCCTGTTTTAATGGTCAGTTCCTCAAATGTTTCAGTTTATTTTCTGAAATTAATGTCTGCTGTTACTTACTGCTGTAGCAAAGCAGGTATTTGAACTGCTATTTTTTTATTATTTCCCGGTAGCCACTGAAAAGAAGGTCTGAGTAAAGTCAAGATTTCTTACAGGTCAGATTTCTGAAGGGTTTCATACAGAGAGTTTGGACCAGCGAAGTATTAGAATAAATATATTTAGAAGCATAAGTATTTTAACATCACATATTTGTTTGGTATCTTCTTTGTGAAACCTGTGTGCCCAGTAATGTATCAGTAATGCATACTGAACTCTGCAGGAGAGGATTTGTAAGTTTTAGAAATGGTGATGACAAAGAATTGTAAAGTAACCAGATTAAGGACAATTACAGAGAATTCTTAAAAACAGATAGATATTTGTGATATAAAGATTCTTTCACTAGTTCCCCAAATGCTTTATTTTTCCCACTTTTCATGGAACTGATATTAATATGTAAAAGCTACTGAGTAAAACAGTTAACAAAAAAAAAAATTAAACAAAATAAACATGTAGCTACATGAAAGCCTTCCCACCACTGCTGAGCTCCCCTCCCCAATAGTCCCAGTATTTAAACAGATGACAGTATTGTTGCAAGGCTTTGTATAGCCTGATTTCTGAGATTTTTCAGAAGAACAGGGTTCATTTTCTCATCCCTTGAACAACACTAGCACGTCTGCTCCCATGCTTTTGCAAAGAATATAGTAGGATCATTTTTGCTTGCAAACATAGATTGTAGTTTTATAAACATAAAGATTCCTAATTTGTAAAATTACTCTGAAAATTTAATCTTATGTGAGGAACAAAGCTGCTACTTATGTGCTTTTCTTTTAGAAATAGCTGTGAAGGCTAGTAAGAAAATTCTGGATGTTATTGCAAAGGGCTGCAACTTGGGAGCTATTCTGAACTCAGTCATACCTTTTGGATCTTATAAATCTTCATTAGCCACCTAAAAAAATGATATTGCTTCTGGTAATTTTTTTTTTTTTGTTTTTCCTTGCTAACCTTATAAGTTACTTTTTCCTCTCTCTGCATATAGTGAAAGCAGTAGCAAATAGAACTAAATAAAGGAATTTATTATTTTGCCTAGATCAAAATTGCACAGGTAGAGAAAAAAAAAATTAAAAACCAATTGTTGGCATTCTGTTCTCTGCACTTAAGTACCCACTATGTGTTGAATAGATTGTAATTGCAGTGGTGTTTTTATACCCAATGCAAAATGCACATTAAAGTTTAAATGAAGGCTAGTACAGTGACTCAGGCATAATTCTTAACTCGTCACATAGTGAAACATCAAGGCGTCCCCAATTATAGTTCTCCTAAGGAGGTATGAAGTGATCTTAAAAGAAATTGTGGTTTGCCATACTGTTTGTTAATAAAACCTGGGCTTCCTCTCATTACAAGGCTCTATTCTAGCACACTTGCCGTACACAGGCTTCCGTGGAGGCTGTGTCGCTCTGTCTTTTGAGCTCCTGAGATCTCAGTTTGAATCCAGCCCACATGGAATGACTAAATCTCTAGTGATAGCATGCCACTTTGCAAAACTTCCTTATGTAACTCCAGATAGAAGCTGTTTCTGAAGCTGCAAGACACACTGAATCACCTCGCTGCCCCCCTCACAGAGTGCAGGGGATACTGTGGGAGAAGGAGTTTGGGGAGGGGTGGGAAGCAGTTGAAAGCATCAGCTGCTGCTATAGGGCAGTGATTTCATGTCCAAAGGACAGGGTGCCTCCAAATCCAAACAGTGTAAGTGACACCACCCTTTATAATAAAATTAAGTTTCATTATAGAATGCCTTGGGTGGAAAGGTTCTGAAATCAAGTAAGAAATGGCTCTGAGTTAATGTTAGCATTGAGTTCACAGGGCTTTAGTATTCTAATTGCTCACAGTACAACTGAACTGAACTGAGGGCTTGTAATTTATTTTACTTAAATGTGGCTTATATGGTATATAAAAATACACAGTTAAATGCTAATTCTTTCTGTTCAGTAGCTCTTTCACCTTAAATTGTGAAATCTGATTATTTCTCCCTCTCTCCCTTAACATAGTAGGATAGTGTTTTCATTTCCAGTATACCACTACAGCCCTATACATCTGTTCTATGATCAGTGTTCTACTCCCTGTGCTCACTCCCAGCCTTTGGTGTGTTTTTTGAAGTATCCCCTCTCTAACTTTTAGGATTCTTACCTCCTAAACTCCTTTTTATATACTCCTCTCCCCCTTTCTCTACTTTTCTTTCTTGAGAGACATCTGTGTAATGGTGTTAGGTTTCTGATGTTTTTTACAAAGTTTAAAATATTTAACACTAGTTGTTCTTTAATAGATTTGAAGGGGCAGTATTTGGAGAAAGGCACTACACTCTTTTTTTTTCTTCTAATGGGCAATGAAGAGGATCCAGCAGATGTTGTGAAAAGGTGCCTTTTTAAAAAAATTAAGCAAAATTAACACTAATTATCTAGATTGACCATGAGTACTAAGAACATGCACCACTCTGGTTGCTGTCGTGATTTCAATTAAAGCATTGTAGCTTATGGTTTTAAATTTTATTCAATGCTTGTGCTGATTTTTTTTCTTGGTGGCCTGCCCCCCATGAATGCAAAAGCCTTTTTTGCAATTTGCTCTTAACCTATCCACTGTGTATTAGACAACTCTATTAATTATTATAGACTGTTATTGCAGCTTTCCTGACCTTCACATTGGGTCCTATCTGTGCTGATCTAAATGCATTGTTTTAATGATTTCCAAAAAAAGAAAAAGAGAGGGGGGAAAAAAAAAAAAAAGAAAAAATTCAAGGCAAGCTTTGATGTGGCTTTAGCTGCCTCGATCGTCTGGCCGCATCTCAGAGATGTGTCACCTATGCCGGGAGGGAATAGGGAAATCACGTTTTGAATGGTAATGATAACATACTAATCACTTCCTTTCTTTGAAGATAGAAGCGAGATATTCTGTCAGCATCCCTGGCTGCTAGAGCTTGGAGGCACTGGTCTAGGTGTATTAGCTTAAGTGTGCATGTCAATACAGCTTGCATCTCCCAAGATCCATAGGGGCTCATTAGAGCAAGGTAGATCGTTTCAGTAGACAGCCACTCAGATAATATGTATGGCACCTCCTTTTTTTATTATTATTAGAAAGCATTTCTTCCATTTTAAAATGACATCTGTCAACAAGGCAGAGTTGTAGGAAATATTTTTTTGACAAATATCCAAAATGCGTTTTTTGGGTAAAGGACTGCTTGGAAAGGGGTGTGTGATTACTGGGGGGGGGGGTGGGAGAGGGTTGGCTTATATTGTTTGATGACTTGATTAGACCTAGTCTAGGATCAAATTTCCAAAGGAAATGAGCTTACATGGTGAAATGTTGGTGTTTTGGATGGAGAATAAACTAATGAAAATAATAATTTGACTTTTTTCGCTATTGCAGCTCCCCAAGTGAAAATGTATTGGAAGATGCATTTTTATCACAGTTGATTGTTATCTCATAAATGGACAGATGACTTCTGGGAAAAACATCTTATACCTGCATCTGTGTATATTGTTTATATATTTGTATATATTTAGGCATAAGAGATGTAAATCAAGAAACCAGTGTTTTGTTTCTACATCTTTTTACATCAAACAGTCTGAAGAATATTCATGCTGTTCAATATTCTGTATGAATAGCTTGTTGTTTTTATCACCTCACTTCAGTAGTCCACATAAAGGAAATATATCCTTTGCTGAAAATTAAGTTCATATTAAAAACTACCGCTTGCATTCAAAGTGATGGTTTCATCAAACCGTAATTGAATAGAGATCATGGGTGCTTGCATACATGTGTCACGGAGAAATCTATTTTGGAAATGCTCTTCAGACAGGTTTCCCATGTAATAGTTGCATTCCGTTTTATTGGGTTCATGTAAGAAGAGTTAAGCACATATTCCATGTTTCAAAACAAAAATGATTGGTACACATAATTATGATTGATCATAGAACCTGCCCCTTCCAGTTGTCCTTATAACAGGCTCTTCCATAAAATATACGTGGATATTTTTATGTTTTGGAATATGAAAGCACAATTAAAAAGGGGGAGAGAACATTGTAGACTGCTGCCTGATTTTTTTTTCTCTCTCTTCCCTTTTCTTTTTCAGAGGGCACATCTGCTCGATAACACAGAGAGGCTGGAAAGGTCATCTCGGAGACTAGAGGCTGGATACCAAATAGCAGTGGAAACCGGTAAGAATTCTGAGAGTGAGCAAATTGTCTTGCTTATGCACAGCAGTCTTCACAACACATGACATTTCAGGGAAACTTCAAAGGCGAAACGGAGACAGCAGCCCGAGATGTGGTTTACATATTGGGGAGACAATTGGGAGCTTATTTGCGCTTATCTTTTTTCAAGTTAAAAGGCATGACATCTACTGAAAACAGTTCCTGAGGTTTAAAAGTATACATCTGAAAAGAGATGGAATACTTTGTCTAAATTCTACATTTGTCTTAATATGCAGTTACATGTTGTCAGTTTACCCACCCGCAATGATTGCTAGCACACACTGCAGACTCCAGTTGTTTTTGTCTTTTACTTTTATTCATATATGTAAAAAATATCATTTTAATACATTTTGTAAGATATTAACTGCAGTTGATATATAATAAGGCTATCAGCTCAATTTTCTTGCAATCAGTTCAGTGACTGATTATGCAGCTCTTTCTGTGCAATGGAAGAAGTAAACAAATCATACTCCAAAATGTACAGATGGAATAAAATTAGGGAAGAAGGCTAAATTGCAGTGCAGTTATTGAATTAGCGGGTTTTTTTAATTGACTACAACTTTTCAGTTGGTATTTTCGAAATGTTTTTCTAAGTTTTAGCAATTTACAAGGGATTTTTTTAAATGAGCAATAGTTAAGCCTTCAAAGTCTAATCCCCTTAAATAAAGCTCGTGAAAGTTGAAAAAACTTTCAGAAAATTTATGTTTGAGCAATGAAGTTATTTTCTAGCAGAGAGTCCCAATTAATTGATATATTCCAGTGTGTGTTTTAGAATTCAAGCCTTATAAGAGCTAAATTGAGTTGAACCCTTACACAGTTAAATATGGCTGTGTTAAATGAATGGTATTACCAAAGTGCCTGCGTTTTAATTATTCTGGGCTTAGTGCTATGCACAGTAATAAAATGGGTGTATGAAACATACAGTGCAGAATTTGGAGGGGACAAAGAAAATTAACTCTCTTATGCCAGAGGATGACACATTAGTATAGGTGGATATATGATAGGAATTAAGTTTGCTTTCCTGCAGATTTTCAGATCTGTTCTATCAGTGGTCAATAACTCGTTTTTAGGACTATTTTAAATGGTTCCTGATCTGCTTCAGTTGAGCCTGGATCTTTCACAAAGAAACAGTATATAAAAATTCAGACTGATCCTTTTGGGGAAGAGATATCTTATATCCTTTTTTACTCCATGTGGAATTTGTTTTATGGAGATGATGATCATATTAACTTCAGTTGCATATCTCCATGGTGATTTCTGAGAAATATGGTTGGAGTGCAAATGTATATTTATACAGAAATGGTGTCTTTCAGTATCAAAACCAGGTGAAACTGCATTGAATTCCATAGAGTCACACTAATTCACCCCATCTTTGTATCCGTCATTACTTTTCATCTTATGCAGTGATATATATAAACTCTGTAAAGACTAAGAGTGTAGTGACATTACATGACTTCTTAATATTAAATAATTTGGAGATGATGACTTTGGAAATATCGTCATCATTGTAATACAGATATTTTTTCCCAAGATTTTTAAGGAAACTGATTAATTATATTAATCCTTGTACAGATCACAATGATTCTAGGTATGAGTGAATTTAGATAAATTCAGTGCAATGAAAAAACTTACTTTTGGAGTTACTGTATGATCACTCTGTGTTGAGGTGTCATAATAAAATAAAACATTTTCAATTCATCTTTGAGTTGACTCCTCAGACCATGTCTTACCTTGATTATTACTTTTACTGCATAAAGAGCTTTTCTACACAGCACTGCTGAGGCCACTTTTGTAGTGCTGTTTCTGGGTCTGGGCTCTCTTGTACAAGAAAGACATTGACTTACTGGAGTGAGTCCAGCAAAGGGCCATGAAGAGAATTAAGAGACTGGAGCATCTTTCATATGAGGAGAGGCTGAGAAAGCAGACTGTTCAATCTGGAGAAGTCTCAGTGTTGTAAATAGCTGATGGGTTGGAATGGAGAAACAGGAGCCAGACTCCTCTCGGTAATGCCCAGTGACGGGACGAGAGGCGATGGGCAAAAATTAAAACCTGTGAAATTACACCAGAACATGAGAAAATAACTTTTTACTGTGGGAATGGTCAAACACTGAAATAGATAGCCCACAGCGAAGGGAAGTCTTCCATCTCTGAAGATACTCAAAATCCAGGTGGGCACAGACCTGACTCTAGATGACCCTAGAACAGGGTGTTGGACCAGATGATCTCAAGGTGTCCCTTCCCACCTCAGCCATTCTGTGATTGTCTGACACGGAGGTGACAACCCTTAAGTATCTCTTCTGCTTTATTTAGGTGATGTCTTTTCACAATTGTAGATATGTATGTTGCATATTGTAATGAAGCTGGATGATTTTCACCCCATGAATAAGTCACATTTGGGTCTTTTTTATTACCTTAATCAGCAAAAATACATATACTATTTTAACCTGCCCCTGTGATCATCTCTGGATTAATCTGACATGACATAACTAATTTTATGCAATTTCACATTACCATTCCTGAAACTTACCATGATAAATTGGAAGCTTTTTTTCCTGTTTGCATCTCTAAATTGATAAGCCCTTTCATCTTATGTACAGTTGTTCATACAAGCTGAGATCTGTTGGAAGGTCTGACTTCCTTCTTTGAGCAGTGTCATTGATTCATGGGCTTCAGTGGTGTCTGAACAGGATGCCACTTATGTCACCATCTCTAAGACACAATCCAACACTGACTGTCAGGCTTTCATAGTTTGTATGCTGTCATCTGTTGATAGTGAGGATGCTTAAATCTATGCAGAAACCTCCTGAAGGACTAAGCAGAGCCTTTAGTATCAGGCAACCAGTTCTGGAGTACTCTAGGCTTACTGTAAGCAAAAGAACGTTATTCTAAATATTTGTAAAGGTATGTTGCAAATTTAACAGGCATTTGATAAGCAATTTGGTACACCAGTGAATTTATCAGAGCATTTGCTTTTAAATTGCTTGAATTTTATGGCAAAAACACACTTGAGATATACAGGGAGACCATGGGTTGTTTGAATCTCAAAGATCTCTATTATTTGTACCAAGGAGGATAAGTTTTTAGTAAAGGCTGATAACACTGCAAAGTGCACTCATCTGCTTTTTTTGGTTCAAAATACTGTTTTAAAAAATATTTCTTGCTATTTTTCTGGTTTTATGTTATAATCTACTATGCTTGGGAGGGAGCTGTGTAAGTAGGCATTTCCAACACTGCTCATTACTTGCAACTGTAGAACTCAGTATATCTAATTTCAGGCCATTTAGTCTGATCATATAGTCTCAGAATGTGAGAAATATTTTAAGAATGCATGAAAATTGCTATTTTGAGCCAAAGGAGAGTTCATTGAATTAATCCTGATGAATCACAAAATTCTTCCCATTTTGGAGGGAGAGATTTCCTAATTCTCTTACTCATGCTCAGATTTCCATAGCCTCAAAATGAATTCTAGAACCTCCTTATTTTGTCTGTAGAATATAGCATAATAAGATATACACTTCTTTGTCATGTCTTAGATATGTTTGCCCAGGCAGGAGTATTTTGAATGAGGAATAGTTCAAAATGCTTCGTTCGTCTTCAGAGATAAAATTGGCATGGAAGTGTAAAACACTCTCAAGGAGAAGAAGAGCACACCTTGTTGTAGAGGACCATTGTACACTGCAGTTGAATTGCTTTTTACTGAGTTCTTCTCAAAAGCCAGATACTTTCTAGGGGAAAAAAAAATCCTGGTGTTTCTATAACATAGGCTTCCTCTTGTTTCATGACTGTAAAAGAGAGATCCAACCACTGAATGCTGTCCCAAAATTCATGGCAAAACTATGTTGCGGGTATTTCCTTATTTTCCTTCATCAATCTTACATATTTCTATAGCTTTCAGTACATATAATTTGAGAAGAAGTGTGGAGCTTGCCTCTGTGAATGATGATTATTGGATATTATGCTGTGGCTCTGACTATCTGAAATATCTGTGCTACTAGAAGAGTTTGTAGTTTGTGCATAATAGATCTTTGCACTGAATCTTAAAATTTTATATTGGCTTCTGGTTTTGTACCCTTTTGTAGTATGTAAACATAGTGTTTTAAAGTAAAGAAATCAACGGAAGAGAAGTCTCTTGTTCCATTTACAGAAAATTATTCTGAATCTTGAGGTTGCTTAAGATGTTTTTTTCTTCCATCCTCCTTGCTCTTTGGGAATCTCAAGAACATATAACTGAAGCAGTTAAAGGAGAAATATCTCTCAGCAAGAGACACAGCAGCTTATTTCCCACCCTTGTGTGACATGAATAAGGGATGTTACTAAGGGATCCAAGCAAATTTCAGTGGCTTTCACCTGTTGTAATGAACTACAGTCAAAACTCCCTTTCTGGACTGAGCCATAAATATATAATGGAATGTAGTGGTAGCCTACAGGCTTATGGTCAGACCCATCTCAAAGTATTGGCAGCTTACCTGTTGGAAAGCAAATAGGAATCCCTTTAGACAAAGTTGTATCTTTGCTTCTTTATGAAATAATGGTAGTTATTGTCTTATCCAGATGCAGAATGGAGTGAAAGTACAGTGAACAGATCAGTGAAAGTTGTTTATAAGGAGCTCCTGAAGGCAGGAGTCTTCAAATTCAGTGACTTTAGCATGAAAGAACTGTTTTAAAACAAGTCCAGGAGGTGTCTTGCCAGATGTAAGTAGTGGAATTTGAGGTACTAACACATTGACCACAGTAGCATGTCACAGATTTGGACTTCTAACTCCTTTACTGATGGAACAACCTGAACCCCCAGCAGCTGTCCTGAAGGACTTTCTCCCTCCATATTTCATGGGGTTGTTGTGCTGGTTAGGTGTCATAAATGAGATGCACACCAGAGCTAGCATAAAATATGTGAAACCATAAAAATTAAAGTAAGTAGATCCACTAAAATGTTTCCATTTCATTATGGTTGCAAGAGCTGGAGT